TTCTTCTTGCCGGGACGACTTGACGAACAGACTTATCTCAAATTTCTTCAACAACAGTTGCCTTTGCTGCTGGATGTTCCGTTAGTAATAAGAAACAATATGTGGTACAAGCATGATGGTGCACCAGCGCATTTCATTGAAGCGGTTCGTAATTATTTACAAACTGTTTATCCAAATCGTTGGATTGGCCGCGGTGGGCCCCAAGAATGGCCACCAAGGTCCCTAGACCTCAACAGTTTAGATTTCTTTTTGTGGCGCTATCTTAAGACACTAGTGTACACAAGTCCCATTAACACTGTAGAGGTATTAAGAGAAAGAATAGCTGCAGCTTGTGATAGAATAAAAAACACTCCAGGGATATTTCAACGAGTGCGCAATTCCATGAGGAGGGCGGAAGCATGCATACTAAGTGAAGGGGGCCATTTTCAACAATTTTTGTAACCATTTTGGTGGTTTTAATGTTATTTTTATGTTGTCAGTTGTTTTTGTTCATTACCCCTAATGTGTTTAATTTTTCCAATTAGATTAATAATAATTTTGCAGGTTAGACAATAGAACGGTTTTTATTTTTTTACTCAAAAATGGCGCATCGAAGGAAAACAATTCAAGAAAGATCATTTATTTTAAATTAAACGGGAAATTCAAAAATAACTTCTATTTGGCAAACAACCATTGGCGTACCATTTTTTTTCTTAAAAAACATCGAAGTCAATACCCGTACGCACGCCACTGTTAAAGCTAAAATATTAATTAATTTCCATTATTCTCCTAAAACTTCAACACCCCGAGTTTTTGTAAGGAAAAATTTTTGGACCATAGTTAATAAATTATGTCCGAAAAGCTGTGACCAACTTATTTCAAGTGCGTAGCGCTAGTAAGCTAACCTTTGTTCTAATACAGCTTCTTCTGAGCCTAAGTCACTGAAGAAAACATACGCACTTCTAGGGACAAATATATTACGTGATATATAAAATGCAACACCCATAATTATTTATTGAATTTTGATAAGAACTTGTAAACATGTTTGCTATCATGGAAGTATACGCTGATAAAATGTTGAGGGCATTTCGAGCCGTACTTTTTTTCTAAAGGCTTCTGTCATATCAGGATCCGAACACTATGAACATGTTTAATTGATATTCAGTGATTTTTCTGTGTTAGTTCCATTTGTTACATTGCATTATCATGCCTAGAGTACGCAGACGCGGTAATTTCACTCAATCGAGAAGGCCGAAATCGACGGGTTAGAGGTATAGTGTATCTAACGAAGCTACAAAGTAAGCGTAAACAGTGGTTCATTCGTGATCAGCGCGTGATCGGTAGCCATGGCGCTCTGTCGGCTTCTTCCTTATTGGCTTGTAGCGACGAGCCTCCAGACAAAGTCGCACGGTTGCCACGCTCGGCGAGTTTTCGCCAGAGTGGTTGATCACATTCGCATGGATCACAAATCAATCTGTTGGTGCAATACGTGCAATAACTGTTGTAAAGGACATTATATAACAATAAATGGCATCACAAAGGTATATTCTAATTTGATCTGCAGCAAATTATGAACGGCATATACGGAGATGCGAAAACAAGCTCAAAAAGATGAAGAAAATTTTTGTGCAATCTTTATAGTTAAATTTTTCCTAAGAGATAGCATCTGTGAGGGAATTTTTTTCTATTGTCTTATTTTTCACATTAATGCGATGTTGAGGTATGTGGCCCTATCGCAATTGAAAATAAGGTTTCGATAATCCTTCCATAAAGTTTCGATGAGTACATCTGAAATAACCTTGAGATATTCTTCATGGAAATACAAAAATCTCCTTTTGTGTTTTTTTGTGCAGATTTATCTATTAAAATCCTATCCGCAATCTATTTTCCGTGCACACACCTTCAACCGAATGTATGCCATATATGATATTACCGTTTCAAACTTTCACCAAGGTTAATAGGAATCATAACAGCTCCCTATCCTTCCCCCCTATAAGAATATCGATTTGTAGCCTCACATTTCAAGGTTAGACTTCTTGTAATGTTTCTGTTCAACATTCGGCGATTTCTGTCAATTTTCCCAATAAAACATGATCATTGTGACATTAAGCCTGGCAACGCTGCATAGTAGAGGGAACTCTCAGCGTCACGTTGATGGTTCGTCACCACGCACAGGATTGTAATCAGTTACGGATACCCGTTTATGAGCGCGAACGTTTTATGCACGTCTTGACTTGATTTTTCTTGCGGAAATTTAATATTAGTCTAAAATGTCTGACACAGATACAGCTGATGAAGTGGTTGAAATCAGCTTAACGTCACCCAGAAAAAGGGCTAAAAAGCTTCATCTTAGCGCAGGTGAAAAACAAATTATTCTAAATATCTACAAGAACCAGATGCAAGAGGATAGTGGATTGGCTATAGAAAATATCGTATGTAAGGTTGCTGAAATTTCTGGAGTAGGTCGATCAAGTGTTTACAAAATCTTGAAGGAATATAGACAAAATCACTCACTATCTGAGCCAAAAACATATCCAGCGAGAGAAAAAAACATCGAAAAAATAGATGACTTTGACAAAAGTGCCATTAGAAGAAAAGTACATCACTTTTTCTTCAGGAATGAAATACCTACAATAGATAAAATATTGAAGCAAGTGCATGATGATGAGGACCTGCCAAATTTTAAAAGATCTACGTTCCATAAGCTGTTGAACGAACTAGACTTTCGATTTTTGAAAAGAGGAAGGAATAGTTTATTGATAGAAAAGGAGGAAATTGTTATCTGGAGGAGAGAATACCTTAGAAAAATTAGGCAATTCCGCGCTGAAGGAAGAAAAATTTATTATTTATACGAAACATGGGTGAACGCGGGGCATACGCAGGGAAAGGTTTGGGTAGACAGATCTGTGAGGTCCTCAAGGCAGGCTTTTTTAGATGGCCTTTCGACGGGATTGAAAAATCCTGCAGGTAAGTTTCGAAGTATATGAACTTTTTTGGATGCAGATAATTCATTTTCTGATCGAATCAATGATTTGGAAGCTCCGAACTCAGTTTTGCTATCTCATCCAAGTTTCTGAGTATTTCCTTCGCCCAAAAACTAATCTAAGACCCTATCCTACACTAACCTAAAAAGAGTAAGTTGCTTAATTTCGTCATTTAGTGCGCTCGCTGAGAAGTAAAATAACTAATTACTTTCAGGCAAGGGAAAACGCCTGATCATTTGCCACATAGGTAGCGTAGATGGATTTGTTCCTGAAGCATTGTGGGCATTTGAATCCAAAAAAACTGGAGACTATCACGAAGAAATGGATGGTAACTCATTTGAAAATTGGTTCAAAAAAATTTTGCCGACACTTGAATATAATGCAATTATTGTGATGGATAATGCCCCGTACCACTCCAGAAAATTGGAAAAAATTCCAACAATGGCCACCAAAAAGGCAGACATTCAACGGTGGCTTGTCTCAAAGAAGATCGACTTCGACCAAACAATGGTCAAAGCTGAGCTGATGAATATAGTCAAGCGACATAAGTATAAATATGATTTAAAAATTGTTGACGAAATGGCCAAAAACCAAAATAAAACGATTCTCAGGCTGCCTCCCTATCACTGCGAACTGAATCCTATCGAGTTGATTTGGGCCGACATCAAGCAATACGTGGCGTCAAATAACAGCACTTTTAAGTTTTCTGACCTTAAAAAACTGTTTGATGTTGCTGTCGATAGAATTACGCCAGCAAAATGGAGAACATGTATTGACCATGTCCAAGAGAAGGTTGAAACCAAAATGTGGGATATGGACAATATCATTGACACCCAAGTTGAACCCCTTATAATTGACATCAACAATTCTGATGATTCAAGCTCCTCGGAATACAGCATATAAATCGATTGATACCATTAAGACTGGCAGTTTAACGGGCTTTTTGGCAAGACAGGTAAGTTCATTATAGACTGCAATCAAAGTGTAAGTTTCTAGTTATGAATGTGGAAATTCCAAATTTATAATTACACAAAATTAGGGTTAATTTAGGAGTTCCAAAGCATAATAGTGCCATTTTGACCTTCTTCCTATTTCTCATGTAAATTTTAATAGCAATCAAACTAACAAACTTTATGGAGTCTGCAATAAACTTTTGTACTACTACTACTACGTCTGTAGTTTCTATTTGCTCAAAAAAATTTGCTCTGCATTGTGAATAGAAGGTTGATTTGTAAATATTATTGGGTATATATGTAAGTTAATAATAAAATATGAACAATTTCAATTGAGATGGTCCACAAGTTTTTTTCGTGTGGGTTTCGGTAACATTTTGCTGAAATGGTGAATACAGAATTTTTTGCACTGATTCCTAATGTCGAAATATGATTAGAAAGGCGTGGTATATTCCTGATAATTTACTATGCTTTTGATAGAATTTACAGCCACACATATCTTGTACGACATTTTTTGATAGATCAGTCACAATAGCTTGATACGGCCCTGTAGCGTCTCCTACGGTTAAGTTCTTGATCACGTGCAATACGGGTGTATATGTTTGATTTTACTTTGTTTCTTCGATGGATACAGTTTAGTGGACGTCAAAGGCAGACTACAGAGCGGCAGGATCGTTATTTGAGGCAACTAGCACTTAGAGATCGATTTTATGCTGTCCGAATCGCCGAATAAGGTCTTTTGGACAGCTTTCCTCCTTCCGTCCCCAGCTTGTAATACCTCTGACCCCACAGCATCGGCGGCAACGATTGGTATGGAGTAGGGGGAGACTTGAATGGAATATGGAATGGAACTGAGTCGTGTTCCGCGATGGGTCCAGATTCTGTTTGGGCACACGTGATGGCCGCGCAACAGTAACGAATCAGGGCAGGTCAGTCGCATAAAAATAGTAATTCTCAATGAAAAATCATATCGCTACGCTAAAGCTGTTCGAAATCTCACTGGAGACGTCCTCTCTATCATAGAATTCCTAATATAGTTTGAATTGAATATCTTGATTTCTACTTCACATTTCCAATAACTCACCTAACGTCAGCCTGCTCATCTTGGCACTTCATTCACAGATGTTGTTCCAAATGTCACCTAATCTGTATTTATTCCTACGAAATGCCTATCTTATCTTTAATCAGAATGTAATACCTCTTCAAGTATGGAAAAATATTTAGATACTACCGAAAAAAATCACTTGAATTCTGTTCAGGGAGATAATTGGGCTTTGCGCGTTTTTGTTTAAATCGGATGCCACGTCTCACTTCATGTCTTACAACCTTGGTCAAACTAGATTTTAATGAACAAAATACTTATATTTTTGCACATCAAATTGTTATAATGTAAGTGCTTTATAATTTGTTGATTGTTCAATTTTGCAATCAGAGTATAATCTGAATCTTAATAACATTGCGAAACATACAGGGTGGGTCACTTAAGCGTATGCGGAGGAAAGCGGCTAAGCCGTTGCAGTTAGAAAAAGGGCTTACAAGATTTGTCTGCGTGTCTAAAAATGGATTTGTCAATAGACACAATTTTCATAATGGTTGCACAGAAAATGGTCATCGGTTTACAACATGTTGCTCCCCTAGAGACCCTGAAAAATGTAGTGAAATGCAAATCAATAAAATTCATAAGTACACTCACTTGACGTGCTTCTAAACTCGAACGAATTCACCGTTTCCATTCCTAGTATTCGAACTATAAGTTACAATAAATATAAAAAACATAATTTAGTTTAAGTTTCAGTTCCCGTACAGCCAAGAGCTCGTGAAGATTCACACATTGGACTTTATACTGTTCTTATCACAATCACCATTCTACACGTGTAAAATTTGATGTGCTATTAACTTTACCTACAATTTATACATTTCTCATTCAACGTAGCCCCCCGCTGGGTCATTGGCTGGCGACTCCCTTACAAGATACAGTGGACCCCCGATAATCCGGCCCCAGTCTAATCCGGCGCCCCCGGTAATCCGACATGTCTTTGAATATTACATACATACGTATTTGACAATCTTCGCTAATGTAGATCACGCAGGTTTGAACAGGTTACAACTTGTACGCGCCACCGCTATCGTGCTCGACGCGTAAGCATTGTTTTACTTAGTTTGAAATTGACTACTTGTGATAGAGGTATGGCCTAGCGTGCGTTCATTGTTTACTATTTATTCATTGTGTATTAAGTATAGTACCTAGTAATGTCATCACAAACTCAGAAGCGAAAGCACAAAACATTGACAATTGAAGAAAAATGTGATATTTAGACCGATTAAATCGCAATGAAACTTTCTGTAGTTTAGCAAGTGAATACGGCGTAGGCCGATCTACAATTTATGACATTCAAAGAAACCATGAGAAGATCAAGAAGTTCGTGTCAACGACTGACTGCGGGACAGGAAAGAGACAGACACTCAAGAATGCTGAACAACCAGAAGTGGAAGAAGCTTTGTACATGTGGTTTCTTCAGGAAAGAAATAGGCATGCACCAATTTCAGGACCCATGATGGCCATAAAAGCTAAGTTTTTTAATAAGGAAATAAAAAAGATGATTTTGTGGCCAGCAAAGGATGGCTAGAACGTTTTAAAAGTCGTCATGGCATACGTTTAATGACTATTACAGGAGAGAAACATTCTAACGATGCCACCTGTACAGAGCCCTTTAAATTAAGATTTTTGCAAAAGGTGAACGATTTAAATTTTGACCCGTCACAGCTGTACAATGCAGACGAGTCAGGGCTTTTTTGGCGTGTGATGCCTAACAAAACTTTCGTTTCTTGTAACGAAAAATCCGTAACTGGACGAAAAGTAAGTAAAAAGCGTGTAACCATACTACCATGTGCTAACGCTGCGGGCACACACGCGCTTAAGATGATGGTCATTGGGAATTCTAATAAACCACGGACATTCAAAAACATCGATTTACCTTACCTGTACACTATTACGGACAAAAAATGCTTCGTACCTGAAGTTAGAAAATGGTTAAAAGATCATAATTTTCCTCAAAAAGCGTTGTTGCTTCTTGTTAACGCTCCCGGTCATCCGTCTGAAGAAGAACTAACAACTGAGGATAAATGCATCACTGCGAAGTTGCTTCCGCCAAATTGCACTGCACTGATTCAACCAATGGACCAGAATATCATTCAATTTGTCAAGCAAGACTATAAGAAAAACCTACTTCTGAAAGCCGTATCAAAAGACCAACCAATAGAAAAAACTTTAAAAGAATTTAATATGAAAGACTTGGTTTTTGCTCTTTGTCAGTCGTGGAATGCGTTACCGTCATCAACTGTTAAATCGTCTTGGAAAAAGTTATGGCCAGATATAGTCACCACTCCTAGCAACGTTCCACAAATCAGTGTAACTTCAGAAGTTATAGAACAAGTCGCTACAGAAACACAGATAAGTCCGGAAGATTTGGAAATCTGGTGCCGTGGAATGGATAAAGAGGAAAATGTTTTTCATGTAATGTCTGACGAAGAGATTATAAAAGAGGTTTCTAATTATACAAGAAACAATCAGGAAAATAACGACGATGTGATTGCAACTGCTCCACAAGTCGCAGCACAAGACGCAATTAATGCCTTTGAGCTAGGTTTACAATGGGCTGAAGAGAATGGTACATCCTACAACGAACTTTTACTTTTGAGAAGACTGAGGGACAAAGCTCTGATCTCGCGTTATAACAACCTTAAACAAAAAAAAATCGATGAATATTTCCAAGCTTCATAATTTGATAAGTTCATTAATGATTTTGATTAATAATTCTTGATTATTTTGGTACACATGTATGTGCATTTATACTTAATTTTATAATAAAACGTAAGGTCTCTATTGTTATTTAATTTACTAACTTCGACATACATAAACTATGTATGATTTGTACTTCAAAGTACAAACATATACATAACATATATAATCTTACCATTGGATATGTAATTTGTCGGATTACAAGGTACTCTTTTGTAAAAAATTCCGGACTATATTGGGTTTTAGGCAGAGCTCTATAATCCGACAAATTCGATAGTCCGACACTGCCCTGCATAATGTTTGTCGGACTACCGGAGGTCCTCTGTACCTGCATTTCTTAGAAAACAATCTACGAGGGTTGTTTCAAAAGTATGGTTTCCAACAATGTACTTTGACGCGCTTGATTCTAGACGAAATCTGGCAACACCGAAGTGTTTGTCGGTTCCCCCGCCACCCAACAACAAGCGCCTATTGGCGACGTTCCGTACCGGCTAGTGTTGATTCTCGTTCTTTCGAGTATTCGTTACTAATCGTTACTCTTCTACAAAGTAATCATTTATTGTATTCGTTACTTTGATCACTATGAGTAGCATGAGTATAACGATCTGGCGACGTGCGACGTGTAATTAATGTCGAATTTTAACAGCTTAACAACTTAACAACCTTAAAATATATCTTCAAACTTTACATAAAACGAGATTGGTTATTATAGGTTAGAGTTTTATAGGACTCATATGAGCCTAAAAACTAAAAATCTACTAGAAATGCTTGAAAAGCATGTCTTTTAGTTAGAAAGATGATCTGTATATGGGCTTAAGGAAATGTGGGACAAGTAAACACGAATCAAATTGACATAATTTTTATTATTGCGGTTTTCATGAACGTTTGTCTGTTTTCTGACTTAATAAGAGCGAATTTGAGTCACGGTGTAAATAGGTACACTTATTTATTTTTAATTGGCGGACATAGAATTTGATAATTGTTTTTAAATCTGGAGTTTCCTGGTTTCCACCCGAATGTAGGATGTCTGCCAATCCTGATGCATGAGCGGCAGTGTTACAGTGATGCCAGCGTTGCCACTCAACGATTAACGATTGTACGTGAACCTGATACAGATACGGAAAGCAGGGTAATCAAAGTAGTCGTTTCGTGCTCGGATTGATACTCGTTACTTCGGGTATCTATGAGTAACGAGTACTCGAGTGACGAATAGTTGCTTTTTCAACACCTCTAGTACCCGGCTTGACAGACATGCGCAATGGAGCTCTCATCGCCGTCACAGCCAGGTGCGAAATTCGTACGGTCATCCGCATGGGTATCATGTAAAAAACCTATAAAACGTCCAAAAAAACTATAAGATGTCATCTTGCAAACTAGGTAGTTTTTAGGGCGCAAACTGTCATTCCACGTTTGCTCACTAGGATCGTTGTGAACGTCCATCTAAGGAGGAATCACTCAACTAAACTAAACGCATTATTGGTTGCATATGTTTTGTGAGGCCAAATGCTCCTTGTCTGTAGTTTTTTATCTCTGAAAAGAAATTTGGTTGAATAGCAAGATCGTATCTGGATGATTATGTGTATTGTATTGTTATGTTCAAAGTTATACAGGGTGCCTTCGAAGTTGAGTCATTTATTTTAACAGTGAGTAGATCTGATCAAAAGAAATGTTTTTTTCCTTTACCATTTTTCTGGTAAAATTAAAGTAACAAAGTTATAGCCCTTTGGAAGTTTGAGTACCGCCCTGCCTATTATATGCTCGTGTTTGGCGACAACGGATATAATCCGCCTGACCGGTTCATCGCATCGTAAACAAAAAAGCGAAAGAATTTGAAACGTTTATAACACGATGTTTTTCGTCAGTCGATAACGCGTAAGTGAATAGTAGTGTGTTGCGTGGTTCAAACGAAATCAAAAATGGCACATGTTTACGAAAATGCTGAACTTGTGGACATGATTCTTATTTACGGGGGGGCAGTCTTTACAAAATGCTCCCGGATGCATCACGGATTTACGCGAATCGGTTTCCCAATCGAGTGCAACCAACCCCTCGTGCCTTTGTTAATGTAGTACAAAGGGCTCGTGAATCAGGTGACTTAAGACCTCACAGGTGAGGGCATGCTGCTCCAAGACCGCACGATCAAATACAGGTCCGCACTGAAGTACTTGTCGGGAGGATACTTTATTAAACAAGGTAACATTTTTTTTTTATTTTTTTTTTTTATTTTTACACACATATTTTGGTTTATCTTCCTTCTACAATCATTATCTGAAAATTAATGACTCAACTTCAAAGTATATTATGAAAAACTGAGGAGAGTTACGAGAAACCATCACCGCCCCGCGTTGTGTGTAATTACTGTTAGCATGTATATGGCTTGTAATTCGACAGTGTACAGTAAATATAATTATTGCTTATCTCTCTCATTTTTGAAATTCGGTAAATTTGTATATGTAATTTCCAGAATGGATAAGATAAAGTGGATGCGCAACTAATTTCTAGCTTTGAATCCCAATTAACTGTATTTGAGACAAGAACACAATGTAATTATCATC